GGGGGGGTGCTGAAAGGACATAATTACCAGAGTCAACAGGTGCCACACGGCCGATAGCCGACTCCCCGAAATCTGGGTCCAAAACTTCTTCAAACTTGTTATCATCAAGAGCGACAGATCTAACTTTAAAACTTGCTGGCATCAATCCCTGCCCTGGACTGTAGCAATCCACTGTTTTCTCCCAACTCTACATACAAAAAGGGAAATGTTAAGAATGAGAAATTAAATGAAAAAAAAAAAAAAAATTTGAAAGGAAAATAATAAATAATTAAATTAAATTAAATGAATAAAAATAAGTGATCACATCTTGCACAAATGCTTCCAGGTGGATATTGCATTATAATGTCACAGTAAATCACATATAAAGACTGATAAATATGTTATTTACCCCCAAATATTCAATTTGTTAAGCATAAGAAAACCAATTTCCTCTTGTAGGTATCAAGAAAATGACTCCAAGTTTTACATGCAAAATAAATGTTATAGACATGACGATAAATTGTTTACATCTTAAATCTGTGAATAAAACTCATCGCTTCTATGGTCTGTAAGTATTAAATACACTGGACCTCAGATATATTGTATCAGATGCATTTGTAATGCAACCTGCATTATTGTTATACATCTTTCATTTACTTCAATGAAAAAAGCTTTCTGTACATATATCTTTAAGCAAAATGTTAAACTGAATTATATTGTATGAGGTGCTCTATGAAATAATGAAATGTTAAAGAACAGAGATCTAAAGGTACTAAGTATATTGGTCCTCAGATATACAGATGCATATCTAACACAACCTGCAATATTTTTACACGTCTTTCATTTACTTCAATCGATGAAAGCCTTATGTACATATATCTTTAAACAAAATGTTAAACTTAAATTATATTGTATGAGGTGCTTTATGTAATAATGAAATGTGAAAGAACAGAAATTGAAATTGTAAATTTCCTTTTACTTTATCTCTAATTAAAACAAATAGAATATGTTCAAATTAGAAGACAAACCATATGCTTAGTCGCATAAGGTGTTTTGTCACAACCTATTTATTTTTCTCTCTCTAACTCTTATTAATCCAATTCATAGATTCTCACCATTTCTCCTCTGTGTCGATGTAGAAAGAATATATGTATTCGTCATGGTCTTTGATTCATTACCTGAATATCTTAATTTTGCAACAAAGAGTTATAAACCTAGCATTATGTGTCTCGAGCATTCTAATACCGAAGGCATCGTGATGCATTGCGGCAAGGGAACAATGTATGGAACTGAAATTAGCACTTCCTTAAACATAAACTACCACATCATTTCCATCATATGATGCATTTTCAACCAAAACCTTTCTTTTTTCTGATTCATATTCTACAGCTCCAACATTGAATCTATGTTTCCACTCAAAATTTGAAACATACAAACATAACTCTATCCACATATTAGGTGAATACAATACAAAAATTATATAAATACATATCAACACGAGTTCAAATCAATTTACCTGTAGCTGCATGGTGTGCAGGAGGAAATTCCTAACTATCTCCCCCTCGCCCTTGAGCAAAAAAGCTAGGGCCGAAGGAACGAAATCCCTTATAAACACCTGATCATAATTCAAAGGCATCTTGTCATTGGGATCATTAGCGGCCACTGTCCCAACCGGGCTATTGCAATAAGTCACAACCGCATTCGTCAACAATCTCCATGCCTCCTTCTCAACCTCAGACTCCTTTTTTTCAGCCTTCACGGCCTCGGCCACATTCGAGTTCTCCTCATTTACACCATAAAGACCTTCAATAACTTGTGCCCTGTCTCCATCACTTTTTGCTAGGGTTTCATCCAAATCAGTATTTTCCGGCACCAGCGGCTTTACATTCAGGCCACCCTGGACATAAATCTTCTCAAAATTCTGGTTGTTCACGCGGGTTTCGACCGATTTCGAAAAATTCCTAATATTTGATGCAGCACTGGCAACAACATAATAACCTTTGCTATTGAAATTAGGGCCTGATAAAGTCCTAGCTTGGCCCCAAGTTAAAGATGGGGCATAAATCGCCTTCTGGGCATGATTAAAAATTGATTTAATTCCCAAAACATGGAAGGAACTCGTGTGAAACTTATGGCTAAACAATTCAAATTTGGAAAAATTAGTTGGTACAAATAAATGGTTGGAGGGAAGAAGGATTCTAATACAGGGCTTCATGGTAATGAATCTGGTTGAATACATCAGAAAAGAAAGTAATAATACACGAAAACAGCACCAACAACAGACGCAAAGACTGGGATTTCGTATATTCAATGAAAAAATCTGATACGAAATGGCAAAATTTACGAAAGATTCGTGGTGTGCGTATAAAATGGAAAAAGGAAAAATGAAAAAAGAAGATTAGAAATTTATATTTCTTTGAAAAAGGGAAAAGGTTTGTTGGATTGTATAATTGTATTGGGGGATTTCCGTTTTATATATAGGCGGTCTAGGATACAAGAATTGATGCAATTATATAATCAGGGATTTGTTAATCATCTTATTGACACTAATCATCATTTGTATGTCTTAAATCTTGATTAAGTAAACGCCCCTCTTCTTACCGAAAAATCTCTGAACAATGCTATTTTACCAAAAGAATCAAGCCAGATGTAGTAACAGAAGATACATGACAGGAGGTGATTAGATGAAAAAGTTGACTGAATTTAAAACACAATAAAACCTTGAGTACAAAAAAATTCTAATAGAACTTCTACCGACACTAATGTGACAAAATATGATTGAATTTTTTTCTTTTTTCCATCTTTCGATGAAGTGTGCCATCTGTTGTCTAAAAAAAAAATGTCAAAAAATTATGTACTTATAGCATTATTCTTTAAAATAATTCAATGTGAAATTATGTCAAACCTTTTATTTATATAGCATGATTGTTATTTTAAATTAATTGTACATCCTTTCTATATAATTACTTTGACAATGTTTGATGTGATAAAATCGAGATCATTGATTATTTTAAGTGTGGTTGAAATCAATGACAAAATTATGTGTTACATCATAAAATATAAATAAAGTTGTCAATTAAAATTGTACATTTAAATTTTATTCAAATTTAATTATGAATAAGGAAAGAAAAATGTAATATGAATGGAAAGGGAATTTTTAACCTAATTTTTTGCAGAGGAAATAATCATTAACGACGTGGATAAAGGTTTTCATCCACAACTTTTGCATCTTCAAGTGAAGAATAGTACCTCCAACCAATTCTTCTAACCATTAAAATATCTCCACGTGTCACGATACAGTCCTATATAATTTTTTTTGGTCTATATAGCTCTATTTCAGCTAAAAACACCCCTTTAATTAAAATTAAATCGATCTCGTGTTCTCATCTTTAATATGATTAATTATTTATTATCATCTAAGCTAATTTTGTAGCAATAGTGATTCGTGAAACATCAATCATGCTATAGTAATATAATAGTTGACATAATTCTTAACATAATGTCACACGACATTTTATTATTGAATAGCTTAAAATATGATAAACTTTTTCATCTAACAATCTATTGACACCCACACATCTATCAATCTCTCTGTCAGCTTTCTTTTATCGGAATAGATTATTCCATGATGCAATTCTATTCACTTGACAAAGTCGAGGGTATCGAATTGTAAAAAAAGGCAATGGGAATGTTTTCGGATTTCCCGATGACTAAGTTAAAAAATACACTGTCCGTTTTATTTAATTTTTTAGTTTTAAAAAAAGATGCTTGAATATAAGCCTGATGGATTTATTTTAACTTGATTAATAAGATATTATGTATTTTAAAATTAACTTATTTACTTGTAATTAAATTTAAGCTTAGTGAAATAAGCAATTACTTTATTTTTGTGAAATTATGTGTATTATTTTGACATGATTGTAGACAAGAATAATAAAATTAAAAGAGTCTTATCTTGATTAGTTTTCAATGTTTTTAGAATTTTATCTTTCTTAAAGGATTTGATTATGATTACATAAATTTCAGATAACTTTAATGTAAAAGTCCATTTTTTGTAAAATTTCAACTGAATTCATACAAACGTTTTATTTTGAATAAAATGGACTATTGTCTAATTCAAACATTCATGGTCGGATCAATTGAAGAAAAAAAACGCGTAACAATTTCTTCCCATGCTTGGTTTTGCCAAAAATAAATAAAAAAAAGCAATGACTTTAGGAGATTTTGATTTTAAAAAAATTAAAAAATTAATAAAATTGTAATTTTAATGAAATATGTGAATAAAATAATTATTTACCTTAATTTAAATTATTTTTTTTAATAAGCTAAACAGGGACATATATAACAAATAAGGAATGTCCAACATACCACTTAGATAATACTCTATTTGGGAAAAACGATGTTTTGAATAATGAATTTTTGAACAATTGTCACGCCCCATTCACATAGTTAACCGTACATAACCATACATTTAACATATGTGGGAATGAAATTGATTACTCGACTTACACATAAAATTTCATATATACATTTTTTTTTTGTTTTCCAATTTATAAAATGAAATAAGCATCTTTACAATTATGTCTCTATTTGTTAACTACTAATCACCTGTGACGATCATATATGACTTGTTTGATTCCTATTTTTTAGCTACAAAAATTAAAAATATAACCGTTATCCGTCATATCAAGCCACCATATTTGATTTTTTATCTCTTGTGTGGGTCCCGCAACGACTATATTTTTCATTCTCGTTCTTAGAAAAATGGAAATCAAACGGGCTCATGGTATATCAAAATCAAAGATCATATAACATAATCCAGCACATATGTTCTAAGGTTATAAACATATTTATAGGCAATTTCAAAAGGTATACAATACAGGATTCCCAAAAATATAACATAATAAACTGTAAGTTCAAAACAACATCCCACAAAATAACCCCACGAGCAATCGTCCATGTACATCAAAGTCTGAAATCCCGTACGAGCTCCACAATTAGCCATGATCTCTACGTAGTTCCATGCTTACTTAAAATGCAAGAAATACATAAGCTAATACTTAGTAAGTAAAAATCATGCATGTCATGAATATGAATAATAATGATTTATGATACCATGTCATTCATTTTAAAAATTATGCTAAAGATGCATCATATACTAATATATATTAAAGTCAACTCGAAATCATTTCATTGGGCCCTTGACCCACCTATTATGCACTGGATAGAGTTCTGCATAATATTAATAATCAATAATCAAATGACAAATATGAAATTGACACTGACGAGTGGATCATCCTCTTGTGACTATTAGATGCCCATCCCTTAACTACTTCTATGATCACCAAAGAAGTATCACACCCAGTAATGCCAATAATCATAATATCACAAGGGTATAGTCGAGTGGTCCGCCCTTCCGTGATCACCAAAGACTCATCCCTTATCTACTTTTGCAATCACCCAAAACGTATCACCCACGATGCCAAAACATATCATATAAGCATGCATCGGTGCCCTAGTAGTGATCAATAAAACATTTATAAGGAAAACTTAGTTTGAAATCATGTTTCACATGCAAAGTTTTCAAATATAATCATATGTCGTGCATGCCGATGAAAATGTTCATGAATAACATGATTAATAAAAATTGAATTCAATGGGTTTTGTAACAACATACTCATGATCGTAACCATCATATGATGTACAACGAGCTCTTATCAAAGTTATGTAAATATTCCAACATTACTATACCACAAATGCTAAGTTCTTGTATCGTAATTGCAAATAGATTTTTACTTAACTTTCGTCCTTGTGCATGCAAGCTCCTATAAAGTGTATATCTATTTTCTTTTTTCGCTCAAAGTCGAAAAATCACATGTATTACCATCTAATATTGAAGACAATTCTCAATTTAATAATCTTAACACATACAATTCCAAAATACATCCATTCACGCTAAAATAATTTAGACGAAATTATCGGTTCAAGTTATCAATGTCATTACAAATTAGCCCCATAAATCTCGCTATTTCTCGAGTCTAATTATGAACGTTAACGTCATCCAATTGTTTTTAACAACTCAATACTCCTTACTAACTATTTTCTAGGTCCAAGAGGTAATTAATGGACATGCAAAGGTTGAAAATACATCAAACATGTAAATAGATAGAATCTGTATTTTTCAGGTTTCCATTACCGTCCAACTATTTTTCCAATTCTTTTTCAACATGTATGTGAATGTAATAATGTCATAAAGTTTTGATAAGTGAAGTGTTTTCAGTCTCAAAAACAGTCAATTTTCCACAACACCAAATTAGACAGTTTTCATTATGACATTTTTTTCGATTTTCCATTGTATTAGTATGCCACCAACAGAATTCTCGGCCATTATAATCATGTCTATAATTCATGATTGCATGTAAAAACATTTGTATTGATAGATGTAAGTTACACTCTAAGAGTCATCCAAAATCAAAGCCTAAATTGTTCAAATCTAGCAACCCATCTTTGTCCAAGTTATTTTCTTCCAAATTCTTGTAATTAAATCCTCTTATTTTGCCATCATAAAATCATTAACAACACTCTCACATAATTACAAGAAAGTTCAGATGTTCAAGAAATTATAAACTCCTCAAAATAATGGATACAAACCTCAAAATAGTGCAGTACCTCAGCTGCCCAGAATTCCAGCTTTTTGTTTCTATTTCCTTCTGACTCTTTCACTCTCCTTTTCACTTGGGGACGAGTTAAAGGAGCTGATATATTATCTAGAAGATAAGAGGTGGTCCTTAAGAGGTTGAGGCCGCGCCTCTTGCTTAATAATTAAGATATTGTGGGATACAGCCACATCAAACAATCATGACGACTAATAAGCAAAAGGTGTCTTCTTTGCAGCAATATTTGACCTTCCCTCTATTATATTGGGATCCATCCATGACTTATAAGATATATATATACATACATATATGTATATACATATATATATGTATGTATATATATACATACATATATATATATACATATATATATGTATGTACATACATATATATATGTATATATATGTATGTACATACATATATATATACATATATATATGTATGTACATACATATATATATGTATATATACATATATGTATGTATATATATACATACATATATATATGTATATACATATATGTATGTATATATATACATACATATATATATGTATATACATATATATATGTATATATATACATATATATATGTATATACATATATATATATATATCCACCCTACACGAGATTATGCCTTAAAAGTTAAAGGAATTGAGTGTTAAAATGACAAATATCCCTAGCACGAGGTGTTCAAACATGAGGTGGTTACTTATAGTAAAAATCTGATTTTATATCTATCCTTACAGGTACAAATCAAGTATCCTTCACTTATTTTGATGTGTTTATGTTTTGCGCGGGTTAGTCGCTAACAATTAAAAAGGATTAGACAATTGTGTAAGGGACGAACCTCTTGACACAAAGTCTCAA